ACACCCACACCCACACGCGCACGCACATGCGTACGCACACGCACGCGTACGCGTACGTGCACGTGCACGCGCACCCGCACCCGCACCCGCACACGCACACGCACACGCACACGCACACGCATGCGCACGCGCACGCGCACACGCACACGCACACGCACACGCACGCGCACGCGCTCGCGCACACTCACACGCACACGCGCACGCGTTTGCGCACGCGCACGCGCACGCGCACGCGCACACACACACACACATAAACACTCACATCCAGGCAGGCAGGCACAAACACAGACACAGACACGGACACGCACATACGTGCACACGCACACACACACACACGGACGCACGCACACACGCAACCACGCACACATGCACACACGCAAACACACACACACACACAGACACACCCTCACGAACACCCACACGGACAGACAGACAGACAGACAAACAGAAAGACAGCAGACAGGCAGACAGACAGACAGACAGACAGACAGGCACGCACACACACACACACACACATACACGCACACACACATTCAAACACACAAACACAGACGCGCACAAACACACACACACACAAACACACGAACACACACACACACACATACATACATATACACATACACACCCACGCACGCACGCACGCACGCACGCACAAACACACGTACACACAGGCACACACACACACACACACACACACGCATTCACACTGACACACACGCACACACACACACACACACACGCACTTTGGCGTCACGATCGCGCGCGCAGAGGCGCGGCGCAGAGAGTCGGGCGAAGAGACGCGCTTTGCCAGACGATGTGCCCAAACACATACACATGCTGCACCCTCCCGAGTCTGCAATGCGCCTTCATCGCTCTTCCCCTTCGGCCCGACTCCCCCTGACATCCGACCTGCTGACTTTCTCCAGGTTGACCCAAAAGGGGGTCCAGCGACAAGGGGGTGGTGCAATAGACCTGGTGCAATATATTTATGGGGATGCAATACATTTGGGGTGTGCAATGCATGCCGGGGCGCAGATGTATTGTTGGATTTCCGCGCGCAACATTGCAAAACAATGGAATACGACTCTCCGGTGCAATACGTTTGCAATACATTTGCCCAAAGTCTATTGCACCACCCCCTTGCAGCTGGACCCCCTTTTGAGTCACCCTAATTTCTCGAGGCGCTGAAGAAGGAACCCTTTTCGTTGGGGAGGGGCTCGGTGTTCCTTGATTGTTTGAAAGCTTGCCTCAGGTTTTCCTTATGTTTTCGATGGGACATCGAAGTTTAACTTGTGGAAAAAAAGGGGCCTCGTTCCTTACTTAGGGTTCCTTAGGTCAATGTCCCGACTGTAATTTCTCGAGGCAGGCTCTCCGGAGGCCCTGGACCTTCCCCCCAGGCTGGCCCTTCGTCCCCCGAGCTGTTCTTTTCTTTGCGGCGGCCCCCCCCCCGGGGCCTGGCAAGGGGCCCCCCCCGAGAGGCAGGACCAGATAAAGAGGGGGGAGGAAGAGGGAGGAGGAGGAAGGAGGAGGGGGGGGAGGAAGAGGGAGGAGGAGGGGGGGCAGGAAGAGGGAGGAGGAGGAGGGGGGGGAGGAGAAGGAGGAGGAGGAGGAGGATTTTTTGTTACAATGCCCGCGGGGGAAGAACGTTTAACGTGTTTAAACGAGTTTAAGCAAGGAGGTCAAGGTGCGGTGGCTTCTCTGGCCAGCGGCTCAATCCTCGACCCCATCATCCGTGGATGAACGCAGCCACCTCCTCCTCCGCCTCGAGGCCTGGCTCTAGAGGCGCCCCTCGCGCCCCCTGGGCCTGACCCCGAGATCCCTGGGAGGGCGGCTGCTGCGAGGACGACCGCTTCGCTGGAGCCGCCGAAAACGAGCCCTGGAAAACTCCCTCCCTCCCTGACTGCTCGCGGGCCGCGATCCGCTGTCGGATGGCCTCCAGTCCTGGTAGGAGTCCAGCATCCGCAGGCGCAGGGAGGAGTACAGCTCGACGTCGTGGCTGCTGGGTCTGTAGCAACCGCTGTCGACCAACCTCCGAGAGGACATGGAGGACCACATCTGGAGCCCGACTCGACTGGGGGTGGAGTCCTCTCAACGTGCGTCCAAGTCGGCACCTTGTGTCCGACGAGAACAGACGGCCTGGGCAAGCACTCTCGAGGCGTCGGCTGATCCGATCAGTACTGTAAGCACCGCATCGCCGACAGAAGACCAGCGAGGGACCACTCGACAAACGCGTGAACACCAAAGAGTGGGAAGTCGACTCACGATCCCTCAAAAACTGGAAATTGTTCCTCCTCCCTGAGCAGCCCGTCATCTCCAGCCTGGCCGCACACGTGTTGACCGCTCGGGCCTGGCAATCATGACAAATGAATTTGCCCTGGGTAGTTGGGACCGCCGTCCAGGCGTGCCAGCGTTGAGCTCCAATCTCACGGGGCCTGGGGACCTTGGGCCTCGCACGGAATTGGGCCAAAGGGTACAGAGGCAAAACGGCCCCCGAAACTCTGGCCACAGCTCGGGCTGGGGAGATCAAACGGTCCAGCTCCTCAAGGTCCCCTGGGCTATCCCGCGCATGCAACATAACAGCAGTCTTAGCACACAAGTCCGCAGCGTAATTGGCACGTGCAACGCGCCTCTGGTCGAAGGGTAGCGCATCAAGTATCTCGAGACTGCGGTGAGCATGAGTGTGATGCGCCGTTGTGACCATCGGGGCCCCAGCGAGGGCCTGATTGTGCAGACGGACCACTCCAAGACAATCTGAATGAGCCTGGACAGGGCACGACAAAGCGAAGGCGGGCGCAATAATAGCATCTGCTCCGCTGCCTGAGAGGTCTGAGGCAAAGATGGCCAAACTGGGCCACGGAAACGAGCTAAAATCTCCTCAGTGCCACCCTTCAGATACACTCCAGCATAGGCGGCCCTCGAGAGCTCTCGGACCGGACTGCGCGTGCACGACCCATCGACGACGACATCGACCGCATCATTCAGCACCGATAAGTCACCGAGAGGCTCGCCACCAGCTGTTAAAAACGCTGGGTACAGCTGGTCAGTGGGAGGCTGAAGGTAGCGCGAGGGGTGACGGAAGATCGCGCGAGTCGACAAGAGATTTTCGCACCCAGCGCCAGAAGCTTCAGCGATTATCTCCGCACTACACCTACTCTTTCTAGCCTCGACCACCTCAGGAGCCTGGCAGCACCACAGTCTATGATGGAGGCTATCGCGCATTCCACAAAGAGGGCACTAACCGTCCGACTCGAAGCCTAGCGCTTTAAGTCGGTCGTCTGTGAACACCGCTTTGGTAAACCAACTCGCAACAGCATATTTAGCACGCGCACAAACATTTGTGGACCTACACACAAGCACGCACGAGATCAGCACACACACACACACGCGCATCATCACCTTGCATGCCGACCACCCGCGCCATCTCACGCTCATGCTGTCTCTGGATAGCCTCACGCAACAGATGCTTGATGAGCGAGGGGGAGGTGTAGAGCAGAGAGATTTCGACTCCTCGATCGTCGATCCACTCCGAGTAGTTCTTGGGCTCCCAGCTCACCCTTTGGAGGCACAGGAGCATCCTCGAAATCGGTCCCTTCAATTGCCGCCAGGAGGTCTCAGGGTCCAATTTATCCAAGACTGTGATATACATCTCCTCAAGTTTCTGCAGAGAGAAAAGTGCTCGCTCTGGCGCAACCGCCGCCTGCCATAGCATAACCGACCACAACGCAGCAGGAGCGACAGCAGCATCTGCGACAGGATCGCCGTGAAGCACGCACTTTGCAACAAGAGAGGCTCCCCGATGCGAGGCTGGCTTGAAACTGAGCAGCGTCGAACGAGCTCTTTTCAGCTCATAGTCGCTCATGCCCAAGACCGAACTGCCGTACGTGAGCGCCGGCTTCAAACCAACAGTGTGAATCTTCGCCATTCGATGCTTTCCGTGCGCCAACCACCTACGAAAGCGAAGAACCCGATTATGTCGAAGCCTGCATTGCTGAAAACGAAGCCGTCGTTTACGAAGAGCCCCTTTAGTCGAACGAGCCTGCCCAGGAGCGAAATCTATGCCGAGGTTAAACGACGTCGACGCGACCGTGCCTTGGGGGAGCCCTCGAACTCGTAACTGCTGTGCCAGAGACCTAGCCAAGGGAACCGAACTTGCCACCGTGATCGCTTTCGAGTCCGAGATATCAGCTTTAAGCTCCTGCGTAAACATGCTATGGAAATCAGCTGCTGCTTCAGGTACAGCTCGAAGTAGGCTAGCTTTATCCCCTATCCCCAGGATCGCATCGTCGTCGATGTACGAGGAGAGCCGCATCATCGGATGCCTGAGCGTGAAAGCATCGAAGGATTGTACCGCATACACCTTGACAAAGGCATCGTTGAAAATATCTCCTGCTGGCAGGCCACTCTGAGCGAAATAGACGACAGGGTGAAAAGCAGAGCCCAACCGAACAAGCCTCGGGGACCTCCAGTGGTTATACATCGCCTTGACTATGACCTTGGGGATCCCTCTACGATAAGCTCTATCCCGTAATAGATCTAGCTGGAACGACTCATAGTACTTCTTGCCGTCCCAATGCACGCCCAAGACGACCTGGTCCCTGGAATCAGCAACCTCCGAAAGAGCCGGCTGGGCCCATACACGAGCTTCGGCACTCTTCCCCGTCCCAAAGGCCCAGTAGTCCCTCTCAGTGGCAGCAAAGAAGGGGTCCAGCATCGGGCGGCGAAGCCTCTCCCAGACGCGCACAAAACTGGCCAGCAGTAGAATAGCACGATGGCCACCTGCTGGCTTATCAATGAACGGGAAAACCATCCACATAAAATGCCGTGGAAAGAGGCCAGCCGTTCCACCGCTTCATACAAGATGCTGAGGGTGCAACACTTGGGTGTCGAGTCGAACGTCAAGGCTTTCGGAGGAGGAGGAGGAGGCGGCGGAGGCGGAGGAGGAGGAGGACATCCCGTGCATCGTGCAGCGCCCAGCCCCTCCTCCCGCCGCCCGCGCCCAGACCGCGGCCAGCTGAGCCGCCCGAGGGGTGACGCGAGAGGGCGCCCGCGGGCCCGCGAGGGGGAGTCCCTGCACCCGCGCGCGCATGCCGCCCGCCGGCGCGAAAGGCGGGCGATCGCAGACATGGATCAAGGGGGGGCGTGGATTGGCGACGGGTCCCGTTCCTGTTGGACATCGCGGGTTCCCGCCGCCGAGCGAGGCGGCACCGGCCGCATTCTGGGGGAGGGCACCTCCCCCGATCCATGGATTTGGCGACCGCCCACCAAATCCACGGATCGCTAATCCGTGTTTGCGCGCCCCCGAGGAAGGCGGGCGGGAAGAACAGCGAGCATGGCGTCGAGGGCCCTCCAGAGCTCGCTTCTGCTCCTCCGAGTCAGAGGAGGGAGAGGTATCCATACCTCTGCCCTTCGCCCGTCTTCCCCTTCTTGGGCCTCATGGGAGGCCCTCGTCGCCACCGCTGGATTCGCCTCGAAGTCCAAAACGACTCCCAGGAGAGGTCTGGGGAGTAGCGGTATCGGTACCTTTTGGTCTCCCCAATTCTTTTCTTCAGATTTGATTCGAATCGAATTCGATGGCTTCTGAGTCCGCTTCGATTCGCCTGGGGGATTCCGATTTGGGCTCCGATTTTTTGTCACTGGAGGCCAACCAGCCTTGAGTGTGCCTTTTGAGGCAAATTAGCTTCAAGAGCTAAACTTTATAAAACTCTATATTGCTACTCTGATTCAACTCTGTCCCGAAACTCTGTTTCATCTCTGACGTTTTGAAACTCTCATTTTGCTCTGGTCTGAACTCTGATTTAACTCTGATTCGGCTCTGTCCCCAGCCGCTGAAAACAGAGGTGAATCAGACCTAAATCATAGTTACGTCAGAGTTCCAGACCAGAGCTAAATCAGAACTTCAGCTAAATGAGAGATGAATCAGAGTTTCAGGCCAGAGTCAAAACAGAGTTGAATCAGAGTATCATCAAGGTTCTAGCTGTTCGGGGCGGAGGGCGCGGGGCGCGCTGCGCAAATACGCTTGTCTTCCTGCAAATGAGGGGGGGGCACGATGGGCGATAACGAGGGCGGGAACGAAAGCGGGGAACAAAAGCGGGAACGAGGGCGGGAGCGACGGCGGGAACGAGGGCGGGAAAGAGGGCGGGGGCGAGGGCGGGAGCGAGGGCGGGACCGAGGCTGGGAACGACGGCAGGGACGACGGCGAGAGCGAGGGCGGGAGCGAAGGCGGGAACGAGGGCCAGAGCGAGTGCGGGAACGAAGCCGGGAGCGACAACGACGGCCTTCCTCCAGTGGGGGGGGGGGCGGCGCTGGCCACCGAGGGCGCGGCCGATGCACTCGTTTTCCCGCGGCTGGCCCCTGCCCCGCGACGACCGCCAATCGAGGTTCGAAGGATCCCGAGGGCGATTCTGTCTGTTGCTTTGTTGGGGGCGCGGGGAAGAGATGGATGACTGGGCTCCGAGTCTCGCGTTCAGACCCTCGGAGGCAACAGCCGCCCCAAACCTCGCACAATCTTCGCACCTCAAACCTGCCCCCCCCATCCTCGCTCCCTCCCCCCCTCCCCCCCCGTCAGCTTCCTCCTCGGGGGGGAAAGGGGAGGAGGAGTTGGATCCAAGATCGAAGCTCGAAGGTCGGACGTGCTTCGTGCCTTTCTGTCCGGCGACGAAAGGACTTCTCGTCGCCGCGGCTGGCCCCCCTTCGGAGCCTCTGGCCAGAACAGGAGACGTTTTTGAGAGGGCCGCCGGGCGCCGCGCAAAAAGCGCGAGGCTGAGGATTTCTGTTCCTGCTTCGGTCTTCACCGGCGGCTTCCGGGCCCGCCGGCGGTGGGCGGGCGCGCGGGGCGGTTCCCCTCCCCCTCCCCCTCCCCCTCATCCTCCTCCTCCTCCTCCTCCTCCTCCTCCTCCTCCTCCTCCTCCTCCTCCTCCTCCTCCTCCTCCTCCTCCTCCTCCTCCCCCTCCTCCTCCTCCTCCTCCTCCTCCTCCTCCTCCTCCTCCTCCGTTGCCATTTTGGCTCAAGTTGCAGGGCAATCCGCGATTTGAGTGGGCAGCTCCGTTCGGAGCCATCCCAGGTGTCGTGCCTGGGCGGTCACTCTCCCAGATCCCGTCTTTGTTTCTCCCAGTCCCCAGACACTCTCCCAGTTCTCGCCATGTCGTCGGTCGAGGAAGGCATCAAGCAGATCCTGCAGCAGCTAGGGGGTGTCAACCAGCGTTTAGCCACCGTCGAGTCATCTATGTCCGCGCTCGATTCCCTTAAAGAGAGCATCATGTCGCACGACAGGAACATGGCTACGCTCACGCAGAGGATCAACACGATTGAGTCCCGCATCGCCACCTCCTCGGACGCTGCCGCCGTCGCCACTCTGCGTATCCAGATGGAGCAGCGCATGGCCGCCATCGAGTCGTCTCAGTCGTCGCGCTCCAGTGGCAGCTCTGACATCTCTGGTCCTCCCACCTCGAGACGCCGTACTGGTACGCCGCCGTCTTCTGCGGGCAGCAGCACTAGCCGTTCACACGATGACGAGTTCGACCCGCTCAAAGTCTGGGTCGGCGGCTTCACCAGACCCATGCTCAAGGCCTCTCTTGAGGAGCACGGCGACCTCCTCGTGCAGAGCTTGCCTACGCACATCAGGCAGGCAGGCATCGTAATCAAGGGCCACAATCTCGCCAAGAGCTATTCAATCCAGTTCGCCAGCAACGTGGACGCGTCCTCCTTCATCGACCACGCTCGTGCCCAGGGCATTTTGCGGAACGACTCCCACTCCAACACGCGGGTCCAGCTTCGCTGCCGCCGCGACGCACCGACCTCCGTGCGCCACAAGAATAAGTTCCTCGGAAAGATCTGGCAACTGGTCAATGCTCACCTTCGTCAGACTGGTCAGTGGCACGACTCCACGCAAAAACTCGGAGTCAACGGTTTCAAGGGCATCCCCTTCTGCGCTGTCAGCGACGTGGTCCACGAGCTCTTCTCGGTTTCCGAGCAGGACGTCGGCCAGTTCGAGATCTCTCCGCACCCCGTCGGCATCGCCACCATTCAGATCTCGGCTGACCCGGCCAGCTCAATGATCTCAGCCGCGCGCTCGTCTTGAAAGAGCGCCTCGCCGACCAGGTCTGATCCAGCCATCGTGGCTGGGATGCGTGTTCCCTACCCTCCGTCGCCTTCCTCTACTAGGTGTCTGAGCTCTTCTACCGCCTCGTCCTCCTCTTCTGGCTCGTCTGGGTCTTCTACTGGTTCGACCTCTTCGAGTGGGTCCTGTTTACCGTCGTCCTTTGGGCCGTCCTGCTTCTCTTCGTTTCCTGGGGATTGGACTCACTCGCCGTTTATCGGGGAGTCTCACTTGAGTATCGTTTCGTGGAACGCTCGATCGCTTTTTGGAGGCATCACCTCGACTCTGGGCATCGTCAAAAGCAAAATGTCTCGCCTGGTATCCTATGTCCAGAAGTACCAGGTGGTTTGCATCCAGGAAGCTAGAGGCACCACGTTCGACCTCCAGAGGCTGTGTTCCGAAGTCCATGACGCGTGGGGTATTGGGTCCTTCTTCGATGGCAGGTCTGCGGGAGGTGTTCTCATTTTTCTGCACCCTGATCTTCGAAGTCATTTCCAATACTGTCGTTACTCCGTCCTTCTACAGGGCCGAATTCAGTCTCTCACGCTGGGGGGCAGCCGTGGGACGTTGCAGCTTCTCAACATCCATCTCGATCCTTGTCTCGCTCTTCATGACCAGAAACATCAGCTTATGCTTGTTAGACGCGCACTTCTCCCCCCCCTCTGTGGCTACGGGCTTCGTCTTAGGCGATTTCAACTTTCCTGCGGCGGGAGAGGGCAGCTTCCATGTTTCGGGCGCGGCGCATTACTCCAGTGCCGACGCCGCCGCTTTCTTCGAGCAGCGCTTCGCTGATCTGTGCGAGGTCGAGCAACCCGCCTTCGCGCACAGGGTGACTCAGGAGGAGGAAGGAGTTCAAGCCGTGCAAAGTTACAGCCGTATCGATCGTATATACACAAACATGTTCAGCGCTACCATACTTGAATACCACCCCAAGGCCCTCACCCTGGAGCCCATCTCGAAGGTCGGCAAACTATCGGACCATGCCCCCGTTTGTCTTACGCTCAGCCCTGGGCCCAGCTGTGGTTTTCGTGTTCCAAGGTGGGTCGCCAAACATTCGCAGTTTCCTGTCGCTGTCAGTGATTTACTTTCCCTGGTGGGACCGCTCTCGGACGATCCGTTCGAAAAGCGCTCGCAGACCAAGGACATCCTTGTGCAGGCGTGCAAGGATGTCATTAACTTCAGCGCTGAGCAGACCAACAAGTCGCTGGCTGAGAAAATTGCATGGTCTCTTTCAGCGCTTCGAGGCACGCTGCGAGGGCAGCTCTGGCTGGTGCGCAAGGCTGTCCTGGCCTACCCCGTGCTGAGCCGCTTCCTCGACCCAGAGTCTGCCATGTGGCTAGACGTTCGGAGCTTCCATTCCCACCTGAACGAAATGAAGCACGAGCTCATCTCTCAGCAAATCAACGAAGTCGAGCAACAAGCCATTTCTGACTCCCGCAAGCGTGACGTCAAAATCAAGCTCTACAAATACCAGACAGCGTGGCGAAGGAAGCATCGGCGCATTTCTCTATCTGGCGTCTCGGATCCGACTGGCAAGGCCAACGCAGATCCAGAGTGCGTCGCCACCGAGCTCGCAGCCTACTGGGGCCAAGTACATTCGTGTGTCGACTGCTCGACAGAGGACCGACAACTGCTTAGGGATTTCGTTCAACCTTGCCCTCCTGGAATCCTCGGGAAAATTGATCCTCAGGAGTTTGCCTGCCTCCTTTCCAAGGTTTCTGACTCTGCCCCTGGCCCCGACGGCATTCCGTGCAGTTGTTATTCCAAGGGAGGGCCCGCAGTTGTCGACGCTCTTTATGGACTTTATTCCGAGATGCTCGCGAATGGAAGCGCCCCCGTCGGTTTAAACCATGGCATGACCGTCTTTCTCGCCAAGGGCAGCGACCCAGAGGACACCCCCCAGCTCATCATTCGTAAGCC